ACCAGTGTCCCCCCTCTTGGAGTTTTGAACTTGAGGAAATGAGCCTTGGCCCTTGTAGTGATGCTCATCTCCAGCTGTCTGTGACCAATTACTTTTACCTCTTGCTTTTGTTCTCAGGGTTCTACGCCAGCCAGTGGGCAGGATTTTTTTCGCAGGCACTGAGACTGCCACCCACTGGAGTGGCTACATGGAGGGCGCTGTGGAGGCTGGAGAGAGAGCAGCTCGAGAAGTAAGGCCCAGGTTCCAGGCCTCTGGGGAAGGTGGCAACTCATGGGCCTGCAAAGCTGATCTGAGATATCTGAGATCCTGTTGCAGCAGCAAACAGAAACACCAAAACATCATCCAGGACTTGGAGGCAGATTTATGTCAATAGGCAGTGATGGGGATTTATTCCCCAAGGATCAGGCCCCAAAGGCTTGGGGAGGGAGATTTTTGTGGGATTTTAAAGGAAAGTACAAAGGCAGAGTGCTTGTTAATTGGGGATTCATTTGTACAACATGCAATATCATGTCCAGCCATGCATTATAGTGACCAGCCACTTCTGGGAAACAGAAGTAACAAGACCTGTAACAGGTATAAAGTAAACTGGAGGTTACCTGGGCAATGTGGGACACTTTCTGCTATACTGTGACCAACTTCCCAGTAGCCTCTACCTAAAGATCAATGAAATTTCATTATAGCAGCAGTTTTACGTGAAGGGAGTACCTTAATCCAAAACTAACAACAAAAGCATTTAATGTGTTACAGAAAAGCTTGTGAACTTGTATTTGAAAGATAGCTTAGGTCTGTTGTAGAATCAAGCATGTTTCTAATAGGACTCAGAAAATTTATTTTTATGTTTCTTGACAATTTTTCTAATCTCATTACCATTAAAATATGTTCCCGACTACTAAAATTTATCCGAGACTGATGGTCAGGATCTCGTATACTATACATAGAAAAACCTTTTGGAGACTTCTAAAGGTTAAATGGACTGCTCTGGCCTTTACCTTGGTATTTTTTATTGCTATCTCAAGAGACATTCACTTAGTCCTTTATTTTAAATAGCAGATTAGGAGAAAGATGCTGTCAGTTTTGCTATTCACTAATGGTGCTCTTTCATTTCAGGTCTTGCATGCCATAGGGAAGATTCCAGAAGATGAAATCTGGCAGCCAGAACCAGAGTCTGTGGTAGGCTATATTTTATTTCATGAATTTAAAGGTCTTTCCTCAAAGAACAATTATTTCCAAGAAGTACGCACTTGCATATGTCCACATAACTTTCCCTAAGTGATCTAGCCCTGGAATGTTTAAATTTAGGTATTCATTACAGGGCAAAAGTGACAGATTCAAATGAATTTTCATAAATCAGTAGCTGCCACATTAATTGTAGGTTATTAGGAAAAAATAAAATTTTTAATGGGGAAGGGATTTCTCTGAGTTCTGGATGATAAGAACTCAGTGAGGGTTAGGAGTGTAGTGCAGTGGAACAGCATGTGTTTAGCATGTGTGAAGCCTTGGGTTCAATCCCTGACAGTGTAAAAAAGAAAACTTTAACTCAATAAATGTTTGTTGCCTGTTATGATGGTGCATACCTATAATACCACTACTTGGGATGCTGAGGCAGGAGGCTCACTTTTGAGTTTGAAGCCAGTCTGGGCTATGGAGTGAGTCCAGGCCAACCTGAGCTGCATAATGAGAGCTGTCTCAAAAAAAAAATAACCCAACAACAACAAAAGTAACTTAATAAATGTCTGTTGTATAAGAATCTGACCTGATGATTCTCAGTTGGAGATAGGAAAAGAAAGAAACTATATTATCTCCTGACCAGGGCCAAAGGGATGGAATGTATTTAGATTAAAATTCATTTCCAATATGTTTATCATATTTGTAGTAAAACACAGAGTTTTCCTGATTAGAAGGAAGGATGTATGGACGATAGAGCAAAAAAAGAAAAGTTATTCCTTGTAGCCTTTTAAGTGTGAAGTCAAAGAGACCAAATCTTAACACTCCAAAGTCACTCTCCTAGTGCTTTTGCTAGAGAGGGGATTATGAGGTTGGGAGGGGAGCACATGTTTTCCTCATGGGCCATTCTAGTAAGGGCACAACTGTGCTCTCATGTCACGATGAATGGCCTAGAGGTAAGAAAGGAAGTCACTCTCCGAAAACTAGAAGAAGTATAGATTTTCTCGAATGAAATGCACGAGCCCTGTACTAACACTCAGTGTTCTCTGAACCCAGGATGTCCCTGCGCAGCCCATCACTGCGACCTTCTTGGAGAGACATTTGCCCTCTGTGCCGGGCCTGCTGAGGCTGATTGGAATAACTACTGTCATTTCAGCAATGGCACTTGGCTTCCTGGCCCACAAAAGGGGGCTACTTTTGCGGATCTAAAGCCTTCTGTAACTACCCTCTCTTCTTCCTCTAAGATGCAGATTTGGGGAAGGGGCTGCCATTGAAATTCCCTGACAATGGAAAGAATGCAGCAGGAAGTATGTGATTAAGTCAGACCACAGGAAGCACAGCATCACTTTCTATTTCAAACCCAGGCTAGTATTCCTTACCTAATTTAGTGCTCTATCCCACCCATTTCCAAGTTTACTGAATTTAGAAACTTCAGATTAGCCTAAGATCTTTGCTTTCCCATAATGGACCTTAGCCACTACTCACACAGCTAGCCTTCTCCCACTTCTAGTGCTTTGTGCTTGTCCTCAGCTTCCCAGGTTCTCTGCATTTGTCCTTAGAATTCTGTACTGTGATAACTGAATTGTGTATTGTTACAGCTTAGCATCCAGCCTTCACTTTTTTTTTTTCCATAATTTTATTGAGAGACAAATAGCAATGAGACAGTTTCAGATCAAATTGGTAGGACAGTTTCAATAATTAACACATTGCATACTCTCTTCCTAGTGGTTATTTGCTGTGCAAGATGCAGACATGATATCACTTTGTATTTTGGAGTTGAGTAAGCTGAACCCTGCAGAGGTGCAACTTAATCAACCGAGGTTCACAATAAGCCACTGGTATATGGACAACTAGGACACAAATTCAATGCTTTCCTCACTTTCTATAATCTGTTTGGATGTGTTCTCCTATTGTCTTTCTCTAGCCCTTGTCATTTCAGCATGGTTGTCCCTGATGTCCCCTGTGTGTGTTCACTGTGTGCTAAATTCCTTGTGCTACCCAAATGCTACTCAGCATATATCCACAGGTCTTGCTATCTTGTGCAGTGTCTCCAAGCTGACTTTAATTCTTTTTAAGAGCAGAAATCTTATCTTTGTCTTTCTGTCCTATCCTCCATTATGTCTAAAGACAAAGGTCATTACACACTTGGATAATTAAAAATAAAGCTGATTGACCAGATGTGTTCTGTCTTTTCTTCTTGGGCAATGACTTTCAAGGTTTTGACAGACCAAATCAAGATGGAACATTAGGATACAACTGTGACGTGAAAACATTTAGTCAAAATTTTCTGGAAGCCTGGATGATAAATACATTTTGACTGTGTAATCTGTCAATGGCAGCATATGTATGAGCACTCGGTAGATGATTTGTAAAGATGCTAAAAGACACGGTTCCTTGCTTCCACCCTTCCCCCAAAGCCTGTCAAAATAATTGACATATTAATAAGCAAGATGCTTAAACTATTAAGATAATTATAATATTTTACTCGCCCTTTCATATTCTTTATCAGTGCAAAGCTTTTTATTAGGTACATTCATTAATTTAAAACCACAGCTTCACAGTCCATTAAATCCTATTTGAACTACTTTTTAAATGACATCATCATTTCAAAAGCATTCATACCTCTCAACTCCCAAGGTCAGTTTTATCAGGATGTATTTTGAATCCTCTAAGTGACCATTTCATGTTCTCCTTTAGAAAATGGAGCTGATTGTTCTTAGCATAAGTGAAATGTAAAAAATCTCCAAGATTAATCAACAGTAATACAGTTTCCGATTTTACAGTGACATTTACAGGCACAAATTTATAAGAACTTTATAAACTAATGGAGGAAATTAAAGAACCCATTAACACTCTCTTTGTAACCATTTTTTTAAAAAAAAATCTATTTAAAGATTAGGTATGTGGGTGAGGAATGTAGCTCAACAGCATGCACAAGACACTGGGCTCCATTCTCAGCAGCACAAGTAATAAGAAAAAATGTACTTGGCACAGGGATATCTTCTCAAGCACACAGCCTTCCAAGAAGTCCTCCTAAAATTCATGACATTGCTAACTGCATTTAAAAAGGAGTCACAGGGCCCAGGAGATAGCTCAGTACAATAAGTGCTTGCCTGGCAAGCACAGGGTCCTGAGTTCAATCCCCAGTACCACTAAAAAAAAAAAAAAATAATAAATAAATAAATAAATAAATAAATAAATAAATATAAAAAGGAGTCACATAAGGAATTGCCTCTATTGCCTAGGCTGGTGACATGGCCCTTTGGCTTCTTCTCCCAATGTCGTATGCACAGATTTGTTGTCCTGCATTTACTCCCGTGAAATCTCACTTGTGCCATCTTTTAAATTACATGATCTGACTGGAAATATCAAGTTATATTTGATATCAGTTACCAAGATGAATCTGGTGATTAAAAAAAAAAAACTGGGAGGCACCAAATAAAAGACCTAAAAAAAACCCAGGTTCTTCTGATTGAGCCGTCTCAATAATTTTGAGGCTGTAAAAGTGGGACAATGGTGCTGAAGGAGTAGATTTGTGAAGAGATCTCTTTATAGTGAGATGCCACACTCTGAATGTAGCACACCCAAAGTGGAGAGACCAGGGCTACCTTCTCATCTTAAGTGTAGGGAGGGGCTTCAGGGAGACACTTTCTACAGCTTGATATGCCCCTCAAGAATCCAAAACTCTGGATGTTCCTCAAGATAATTTTACCTAAAGAACAAAAGGACAAAACGGGGATTTCAAGCAAACAGAATCTGAAAAAGCCCAAAACTGGCTAACCAGAGGATCTTGGAGTACTGTCTTGGGTGGTTGTTGTCAAAGTCAGGGCCAGCATGAAAGTCTCTGAAAAGAATCCTCAAAGTGTCCTCACAGAACAGAGCCAGTTTCCATAACAGCCAGGTCTGGAGCTCATGAGACCAGTCAGGTGCGAATGTTCAGTAAGCCTGTTTCCTCCTGCTTTTTCTGTTCAGTAAACCCATTTCCTCCCCCTGATTCTGATCCAAGAAGTCCCTGAATCCACGTTTAGCAAATGAACTAAGAGTACAGGAAGAAAGGAAAAGTAACCCCTGTGTGATGGTACAGCAGCCCCTAAGTGGGAGAGAAGAGAAGTTCGTACTCTAAATCCTGCTCAGAGTTTTGGTTATTCTCCATTCAAATTACTGCATTAAGGGCTGGTGAGATGGCTCAGTGGTCTAAAGCACCTACTTAGAACAAGCTTAGCAAAGCACAGGGACTATGGTTCAATCTCCCAGCACCACATGCCAGCCAGCCCCGCCACACGTGGGCTGAGCAGGTCACACACACACACACACATACACAAATAAATAAATAAACAAAATTCAAAAAAAAACAAATTACTGCATTAAGACTGCAGTTTGTGATTTAAAGAAACCATATGGCTGTTTCTTCTTTAAGTGCAACTGCTAGAATCACAGGCTGGCCAGGGTTCCCACACATAAAAAGGAGAGAAACTTCCTTCACTCACTAGTTTAAAATGTGCAGTGAATGATACAAAATTAAAGTTGTGATTTCTTCACACTCAATGCCCTAATTAAGATAATATCATCTGTTCTTGAGAGACTGTTTTCCTGGGTTGTCTTTTTTTTTTTTTTTTTTTGGTGGAACCGGGGATTGAACTCAGGCCCTTGCACTTGGCAAGCTCTTATTCTACTGATCTATCTCCCTGGGCCCAGGAGACTGTTTTCTGTGCACCCTCATTCTCCACATGTCTCCTGCTTGAACCATCAGGGTTTCTCAAGTCAACTAAGCAAGCAATGAATGAATAATAAATCCCTGTATTTTTCATTTTAGTTCTGGATTGACAATCCTGTGGCTCCTACCCAGCATATGGAATGCATCTAACCTCCCTTTTACAAACATTCAATTATCAATTTCCCTCACACTCATTGCAAAAACATCAACTGTCTTCCTGACTATTATTTGAGGTAGCACTATTAGCTTGTTGGATACAGTGTCCTTTCTGGGTGTATCAATAGGTCTACCTATATGGTTCTCAACAGGGGTATTCATCACAATGACTGCAGGTCTTTGGAAAGATCCATGTGCTTAATAAACAGAAGGAAAATTTAATACAACAAGTTGGTAGGGGACAAGCGCCTTCACAGCCCTTCTCTCTGTGAAGCTCTTACCAAGGGCTAAGACTGCTGCTTAGAAGATACAGGAAGGAATGGAGAGCTGTCCCTGGGCCTTGCTCAGTACTGCTCTGCTTCCATCCACTGTTAGCTGCCCAGCTACACTCAGGTAGGTGGAAAGAAGAAGCTGTAAAATGACTTGAATGAAAAGAATTGGTGCTGCTCTCTGAAAGAACAGCACTAATTTAACAAGTTAAAGATCCAGACATGTTTCCTGGATCACAGGAGGGCTTGGCTAGGGAAAACATAGCTTGATTGAAGGCCTCAGGTGTCTTAGATTATGACCCATTCACGACCACAACAAACACACAAACAAAAAAACAAAGAGAATTTTTTTTTTTGCAATTCCAGCTGAAAGGCAAAAATTTTATTTTTTTAACTTTTAAA